TTCTCAAATTTTATAACATTTATTGAGAAAGCCAAAGAGCCTTTGTTTAGGTAGGTTATAACTATTCAGTCACTGTACCAGAAATTAAAACTGAGAACATTTTAAAACACAAGGATACACAAGCACACGTTCTGTTAGTTGTCAAGGGATGATGTCACACCTCACCTAGCCTCTGGTCACCCCCCGATACACTCATGAGAGAAAGAGAGAGAAAACAGCAAGTAACATCTTAGTATTGTTATGAAATCGTTTTGGACTCATAACTGCCCCAGAAGGATCTCAGTGACCCCCAGAGCTCCCCAGACCACAGGTAGAAAACCACTGCTCTGGAGAGAACTGCATTCCTCATTTCTGAGTCTTCTTAGACTTAATATTGCATGAAGAAACCTGGTATGAGCCCCTTCCTCACCCTTTATGCTACCGTTTTCATGTATATTACATCCACATTGTTACAAACCCAGCAATATAGTTCTAACTTTTGCTTTAAACAGGCCTGTGTCTAATAAAGACATTAAGAAGAAAAATACGTATTATACTTACCTACAAATTTACCACTTCTCTTTCTCCATCCTGCGGCTCTGTTGCTCCATCCTTGTTCCATCTGGATTCCTTCTTCAGCCTAAAGAACTTTAGCATCTTGCATAGTGCAGGTCTGCTGACAACAAATTCTCTAAGTTTTCTTTTTATCTAAAGATGGTTTTATTTCATCTCATTCTTGAAGAATATTTTCACTGGAAAAAACAACTTTGAGTTGACAATTTTTTTTTTCTTTCAGCATTTTAAAAATGTTGTTCTACTGCCTTCCGGTATGTATTGTTTTTGAGGAGAAAGCAGTGACATTGAAAACGTTCGGTGCCCTTTTTCTCTGGATGCTTTCAAGATTTTCTTTTTATATTTGGTTTTTAGCAGTGTGATGTGCCCATGTGCGCTTTCTTGTTATTTTTCAATTCTGCTTTGAGTTCACCAAGCTTCTTAAACCTGAAGATCAAGATGCCTTTCTCAAAAGCTGGGCAATTTCCAGCCATTATTCTTTTGAATATTTTTTCTGCCTCATTCTCTCCTCTCCTCCTGGGACTCCAAGAACACATATATTAGAGTTTTTTATATTTTCTCACAGGTCTGTGAGTTTCTGCTCACTTAAAAATTTTTTTCTTCTGTTCTTCAGATTGGATAATTTTTATTTATCTATCTTCAAGGTCACTGACCCTTCTGCCACGTCCATTCTTCTATTAAGCCCCTCCTGTGATTTATTTTTAACTTTACATATCGCATCTTTCACTTCTAGAATTTACATTGATTCTTTTTTAAACTTTCTATGTCTCTGCTTATGTTCCTGTTTTTTGTAAAATAAAGTTTTGTTTTTGTTTTTGTTTTTGCATCTTTGTGTACTAAAATCCTTTGGGTACTAAAGCAAACATCTGTGTCATTTTAGGGGTTGGTTTCTGTTATCTGTTCTCTTGAGAATGACTTGTATTTTCCTATTTCTTTATATTTGCAGTAATTTTGAGTTGTATGCTGGACATGATGAGTGATACATTATAAAGACTATAGATTCTGTGATGTTCCTCCAAAGAGTATTGCCTTTTTTCAAGTAGGCAGTTAACTTGGCTTACCTCAAACTGCCTTGAGATGAATAATAGCTCAAATTTAAGTTAAGTCATTTTAGTCTTAGCTAGGCTGCCTGGAGTCTTTGTTCAGGGGAATAAGGGTAGAAATATCTAAGACACTAAAGTGGCTTACAACCTTACTACGACCAGGCATCATACAATGAGACAACAGCCCACTCGTAGAGCTTGGAGTTCAGGAAGTAGTACAGGCTCAGTGCTACAGACCCCGCAGTCTATCCCAGCACCTACGTGTGCCCCCAAATGGATCGAGCCGAACAAAAGCCTCTCATGATGATAAAAATTTAAAAAGAGTGCTAGTTGTCCCTCAGACCTGCTCCCTTCCGGGGCTCAAGTCAAAAACCCTTCATTCTCCCCTCTCCCCACTCCCAGATGTGGACAGTGTACCATTCCATGCAGTGCCAGTCGGAAGAATCTCGGTGCCTGCATCTTTGCCGTGACTGCTTGGATGGCTCCTTCTGTTTTTCCTGCCCAGGCTACTTCTTCACTGGGCACCCCTGCCAGCCAGGGAGGAGGCCCCAGTGTAGGGGAAGTGGTCCTGAAAGCAGGACAGAAGACACAGCTGCCCGGTGCCAGCCCCACATGGGCCTGAGGTGACCAGCTGCACACAAACCATCAGGCTTCTCTCCAGTCCCAAGTCCCTGGAGGTCTTCTCTCCTGACCCCGACACTCACTGAAGCTATACCACCTTGGTGGGACCAGGACAGGCCCTCATAGTCAAAGTCTTAGAGTCCCCAAAGCAGGGACCCCATCCGGGCCCTGGACTGCTCCAGACGCCGGCTGTAGGGATGGTCACTGCCTCGTCACCCTCTTGGTCCCTGCCCTCTTTCATGCCAGGCTTCTCCCCAGCACTCTAACCCCTGTCCCTTTAGGGGAACCAGCAGTCCTGGTTCACCTGGGAAGCCTCACATTCCAGGAAAGACCTCAGCCCCATGCAAATTAGAACAGTTGTCACTCTACCTGCCCTGCATTTTCTTTTAAGGCCTTTCTCCTCTCCTCCAGAACATCTCCAAGAAAGATGGTACAGAGAACAAACTGATGGTCTCCAGCTGAGAGGGGGGTTGAGAGGATGGGTGAAAAAGGTGAAAGGGATTAAGACGTATAAATTGCCAGTTATAAAAATAGTCAGGGAGATGTAAAGTACAGAATAGGGAATATAATTGATAATATTGCCATCACTATGTATGGTGTCCGATGGGTAATAGACTTATTGTGGTGATCACTTCGTATGGTGTATAAATATATAAATGTCTAATCACAATATTGTACACCTGAAACTAATATAATGCTGTATGTCAACTACAATTGAAAAATAAATGTCTTTAAAAAGAAAAAGAGGGAAGCAGTAAAACCCTGAGTTTGGTTAACTTGAGGGAATTTTAGAATTTGCTTGTGGCCTATAGCACCCTTTCACTGAGATGATCATAAGGAAAACAAAGGCCTTGACCATGATATCTGGGGTCCTCCCTTCCACTGGATCCCTGTTACTTGGGAGACAATAAAAATTCCCAAGTCCAATGTGAAGCTGCCTTCTCAAGTCAGAGTTTCCCTCCCCAAAAAGATGGAGCAATAAGGTGCTCAGAGGAAAGGAAGCTGTCACAGCTGAAGCTTGGATCAAGGAGGAGGATGAAAACAGGCACACAAGGCCCTGGAGAAAGGGCAGAAAGCAATGAAGGTGAGGGCGGAGGAACAAGAAGGGGAAGAACATGCAACCAGGGACCTGAGCAGCATGCGTGCGCCTGAGTAGAGATGACTTCATGGAATGGGGGTGAGAAGGATTGCTCCCCAAGCTCTCCTTGGGACTCGCGATGGAAGGAGTGGAGTCCAGAGGAATGGTGCTTGGGAAGGAGCCTGGCCATTTGGGATGATGCAGAGACAGCCTGGATAAGCTGCTTATTGCTATTACAGGATTATAAAATAGTATAGAAGTATATCATTTTTAATGTATTTTATAACTTTAGATTTTTTTCTCACTCTGTTATCAGATAGCTATATTAAACCATATGTATTTTGTTGCCCTGTGTGAGGTTGGGGGTGGGGGAAAGCCAGGTCCCAAAGAATGGTGGCAGAGAAGTACTCAGCAAAGCAACAATGATGCTAGATGAAGGAGGGTTAGAGGGTTAGTGTGGAGGGGAGGGAAGAAGACGGCTAAGGGACTTTCTACCCATACATTCAAGAACCAAGCACACACATGTTACGGTCCTATATATGAGCTAGGGGCCATATTTGCCATCAGTGATGATAAGCCCAGTAGCCACAGTCTCCATCTTAAGAGAGCCTACCAGCTGGCCTAGTGGACTGCTTGAGAGTGCCCCTAAGGGTTGCCAGAGTCTCTTGAAAGAATTGTGAACCAAGAGTGCTGGAGTAAGTGAGGAGCCATTCTCAGCACCGTGGCCCATAGAATGGGGAGAAAAAGCTTAAGTAAAACTATTTGACAAAGCCACCGTCAGTTATGGCTCTGAGCCCCAGAGGTGTGCAGAACTTATGGATGGGGCTGGAGTCCCTGGCCACGAGGTGACCACCAGTGGTCTAGATTCACCCCACATCTGCCTGCCTTCCCACTCTTCCCCTCCCTTTTAGTTCACAGCCGGGGGACTGCTCTGAGCTGGTCCCATGGGCAGCGGGACTTCCCGCTGGGCAGGAATTCCCCCTCAGAGGGAGTCCGTGTCCTCCAGAGCGGACTGCGGCTGACCTTGAACATACCTGCCTCCTTGTGGAGGACCACTGACCTCCACAAGGACTTCCTGCCCCCCTACCAAGCCATGGCTGAGTGTTTCTCCTGGGGCTGCAAAAAGGTGACCTATGCCCCCAGCCACGTCCCCTGGTATCTGCCTAAAGAAGCTTGAATCTGGGCCTGACCTGCCCGCCCCCGCCACAGCAACTTTTCCCTGCTAGACAAGCAGCTTCCAGGGGTTGTGGACAGGATTCAAAAGACTAAGACTAAGTGAAGGCCCCAGCCATGCTTGGTGAGGAGGGAGACAGGGAGGAGAAGCTGAAGTTCATAGGTCACAAACTTCAATTTCTACATGAGGCAGGCTGGTAACATAAATCCGTGGAAAGGTCAGGGAGGAAGAAGTATGGCCAATTAAAGGTAACAGCCATAACTCACAAAGAGCCACCCTACTATTTACTATTTTGTAAATAATACAAAAGCATCAAGAATCAGTGCTCTCTCACTCCTGCCCTCTGAGGGCCAGCCTGGTTTTGGAGACGTTTTATCGTTTTAGTTGTAGTGGATGAGCTACTCCCTCGTCAGACAGCAGGTGGCGCCCAACCCAGGAAATTAGAAAAGGGGAACAGAGGGATTACTTAACTCATTTCCAGTAACTGCGCACTCCCACACAGAGCCTTCTCCAGCCCCACCTCTTGTTCCCTGGCCCCGGCCAAGTCCTCTCTCAGGTCCCAGATGTCGGTTCCGGATGCCTGGTCTCAGAAGGGGGAACTAACTCTGGGGAAGCCCCCGCTCCACAAGCTGCCCAGGCAAGATGTGAGTGTGCCCTTGGAGAGGCCTAGAGGAGAGGAGAGGGATGGGGAAAAGGGAAGGTGGGACCCAGGGGCATAAGTACACACACACACACACTCTCTCTCTCTCTCTCTCTCTCTCTCTCGCTCTCTCTCTCTCTCTCTCTCTCTCTTTCTCTCTCTCACACACACACACACACACACACACACACACAGCCACAGCCACTTAATGCTGAGGGGAACTGGAATTGCCATAGCCTCTAACAGCCTTCCCTGGGAATAGTCAGGCTGAATGCTCTGAGCCAGGAAACTAACACATTTAACTGCCCTTCAATTGTGCCACCATTGCCCCCTCAGATCCCGGGGTGGGGTTGGGATCTGCTGAAGCAGAAAGCAGCCCCCCACTTTGGATGAGCGATGTTGCGCAGGCCCACTAAGAAGAGGCTCAAAGAACTGGGGCGGGGAAGGTCAATGAGGGAGAAGACAGAGGCGCCAGGTTCAAGGGCTGAGGCCACAGCTGCTAATGCCTTTCCCAGGCCTCTCAGTCCTTCAGCATCACCTGCCCCGACTCCTAATGACCCCACAGGCCTCATCTTGCCCTCACCAACTCATAGGTGGTGGCCGCTCCTCTGGGGAGTCCTCCAGGCTTGCCCCACGCAGGGCTCCGTGCTCTTGGCCCAACAGCTACCCCAGCAGCTGACATCGCCCGGGTACCCAGAGCCATACCTCAAAGGCCAAGAGAGCACCACTGTCATTGAGGCTCCGAAAGGCTTTGCTGTGAGGCTCGTCTTCCAGGAGTTCGACCTGGAGCCGTCTCAGGACTGTGAGCAGGACTCTGTCACAGTGAGCTGGGGTGGAGGTCCTGGAAGGACTCTGGGGAGGGAGCCTCCTGTCCTGGAGCCAGGGGAAGTGGGAGGTGGTCATGCCCTGAATCTCAGAGGATGGATGACAAGCCCAGGTCAGGGAAACAGGCTGGTTTACCTGAGAGGCAAGGGTCTGCCCCAGCACACTGCCTCCACCAGCAGCCCTGTCCCTGCCCGTGCTGCCATCTTGGCTGCAAAGGGACACATAAATACTGCCAATCCCTAGAATAAAGAGGAAGGACTCACACATCAGTCATTAAAAACACATCATCAGGCATTTGCTGAGTGCCTGCTCTGTCAGGGCAGGAAGTCGGGCATGAATAATAAAAGATTAGTGACCGTTCAAGTTTATCTTAGAGGAGATATCACAAAACTTCTTATGACAAGGGCATGATTCAGAATAAGGACACTTTAAAAACAGTACTACATATTATCTTTTGGTTTAAATTTTATTTATATCAAAATAATACATGCACATAGTTTTGTTTTGTTTTTATTTAAGAGTATTACAAGGCATATAATGAAAAATAGTGGTCTCCAGTCTACTCCCCACCCAGTTCTACTCCCTGGGATAAATTATTTACAATTCATGTAGCTGTTTTATATGGTATTTATTTTCATATGTGTCAATAACATGCTTTCTCTCTTTTTCCATATCATCTATTAACTTCCCTCTATAGATGACAAGCTTAATCTCTCGCAGACCTGCACCACCCACATTTCCCCTCCACCATCCTCACGGTTTACCTATACTATGATTTTTAATTAAATTTGCAGTCATTATTTACATTACGATGACTTTAAAATATTCACATCTGAGCACGTGGTGTACAATAATTATAATTTCTTCTCCAACTTTTGGGTTTCCCAGGAGTCGATAATTACATAGAGTTCTTTGGAGTTTTATTTGTTCTTGTTCTGACCTTTGGTTTGCTTCATTCTCTCTATAACTAATCTTCCCACACTCTTAGCCGGGAGAGTATATCTCCTCTCAACATATTCAAGTACAAATCTCAGCCTCTGAGTCCCTCTTTTCATTGGTGACGTCCCGCCTGAAGGCCTCTCGATGACTTATTTCTTCAGTCTAAATTCTTCGCTCTCTCAGCCTTCGCACTTCCTGGGAGTTTTTCTCATTCTGCTGGTTTCCTTTACCTGTCCTGTCTCGGAACTGAATCCCATCATTCTCTTTCCTGATTTACTCCGTCATTTTGAAGGAGCACTTTATCCTCCAGAAAGGGTATGTGGGAGTAAATTTTAAAGGATCGTCTACCACCCTAAGTGTCTTAGTTCTGCCCTCCCAGTTGATGGGTAATTCATCCAGGTTGCCTTCTAGGTTGGAAGTCACTGTCTCTCAGAATTTTGATGATGTTGATTTCTAGCTCTAGTCTGGTTAAATCGGACACCATTATGATTCCTGATCCTTAGTTTTTTTCTCACTGGAGCTTTTGGAGTATTTTCCTGTTACCAGTATTCTGAACTTTCATTGTGATGTACCTCGATGTGGGTCGTTTTTCACTCATTGCACTCACTATTCTGTTGTGTTTTCCGTCTCTTTATCTTTTTGTTCCACTTTCTGGGAGATTTCCTCATTTTAAATACCAACTTTAATGTTTACATTTTTTTTTAACATCTAAAGACTCTTTCTTATTTTCTAATTATTTTTATAGAGTATTGTTCTTATTTCATAGGCAGTATCTACTCTTTTTTCTCTGATGGGATTATTTTTAAATGTTTCTTCTATTCCCTGTATTATCTCTACTTCATCCAAGTTCCTCTTTACTCTTTATTTGTTTGGGTGTCTCCTTTTCATTGATCAGTAAAGGGCAGTTTCCAAGAGCAAAATGCTTTCTCCCCAAGAGGCAGGCTTCTTAAATACAGGGCTTAAATTTGTTGATGTTCTAAGGAAAAGAACAGTATTGAGATGAGCTCAGCAAGGCATTTAGGGTGATTGAGAAATTTTCTTTATGCTAGCTTCTACCCAGTTAATGCGATCCCAGTGAGACAGGCTGGGTGGAGTCTTAAAGGAATTTGAGTCTTAGGGAGAATGAGGGAACAAAGAGCTAGCAAGAACCCAGGATGAGGATCAATATGATTATCAGAAATAAAATGAGCTGAGCAGTGAGTTGTGTGCCCAGAATGAGATTAAGCAGGAAGTGTGGGCCAGGAGAATTCCTTTCAAGACATCCTTCCTCGGATTGGAGACCCCGCAGGAAAGAATTTGAGCAGGGGCGAGGCAGTCAAAAGGGGATCGAAACAGAAACAACTTGCTTAAAGAACATACAAGTTTAGCAACAATAGCCAGAGTATCCATACTGTGTACACCTGTGTCCTAACGTTCCCACACCTTGTGGCAGCTTCATTAATAGTTCATGGGGAAAGAGGAGGAACATTCCATAAAAAGGAGAACAAGAAAGGCCAGGAACCCCCAGGGGCTCCGTCTTTGCAGAGGGTCTTATTGCTTCACAGAGGTTGGCCCACAGGAAGTTACTCAGAGAAGTGGAAGGTGATGGGGGTGGAGGAAGCCGGGTGAAAGGGACTTGAGTCTGTACCTTCATTGATTCAAAGCTGTGGCACTATAGGCACCATCTCGAGCATCAGGAACTCAATGGTCAGCAAAATAGGTGTAATTCCTGCCTTCTTAGAACTTACAATCCAGTGGACTATTGGGGGGAACCCTGGGGTTCCCAAGGAGTTTCTTTTTTTATTAATTTATTTTTTTATTATTATTGCCATATAATATTATATTAGTTTCAGGTACACAAAAGATTGATTCAACATTTATATACCTTACAAAGTGATCACCATAATAAGTCTAGTAAGCATCTGTCACCCTACATAGTTATTATGATGATATTGACTCTAATCCCAAGGAGCTTCTTGAAAGAAGGTAAATATGGGAGGCTTTATGAGGTAATTACAGCAGGCTAAAGAAATATGCTGGGTATCTGGTCATGTCTAGAAGAAACCTGGGAGTCAGTAATGGAATAGGAAGCCACTTGAGCAAAGTTCCATCTAGAACAATGTCTTAGCCCCAGAGGTATGCAGACCTGCTAGATGGGGCTGGAGTCCATGCCCATGACATGACCCTGTGGCCATCTGTAGTGCAGATTCACCCCATACCTGCCTGCCCCACTCCCTTCCCCTTTCAGATTACAGCCAGTGGGATGGGTCCACACCGGTTCTGCGGTCAGCATGGCTCCCCGCTGGGCAACCCTCCAGGTCAGAGGGAGTTTGTGTCCTCAGGCAGCAGTTTGCAGCTGACCTTCTGTGCACCTGCCTCCTCTGAAAATAAGACCACCCTCCTCCACAAGGGCTTCCTGGCCCTCTACCAAGCTGTAAGTAAGTGTCCATCCCAGGGATGTACCCTCTGTCCATAGCTATGGCCCCTGGTATCTTGAAGCAACAAGCGGAAGCTTGAATGACTGCTGAGGCTGGAGGCTCAGAGACACCTGGGCCCACCACATCTCTGTCCCCTCCCGGCCCCAGATGGTGAGCAGCCCAGCTAAAGGGTAACCATTGCTTAGTTCCAACAATTATTTCCATGCCAGTTTGCTGGCCCAGTTCTTGCAGATCATTTCATTTTTCGAGAGAAGCCAAAAATCCAGATTTTAAGTGAAATTCTAGATTTTCAAATGATAACTCAGAATTTATGAAACATAATGCATGTGCGTTATAAAAATTTTCAAAAAAAATATGGTAAAAAGTAAGTCTTCCTCTGATCTCCAGCCCTTAGACCCTGGCTACCTTGTTCTCCATTTCCTATATATTCTTCCAAAGACATTCTATGCCATTCAAATATAAATTGTGTGCATGTGTGTCGCATAACATTCACAATGTTTAAAATTTGGCATTTTTCACTCAGTGATATATCTTAAAGATCATCCAATATACATATGGTTAGCATTGCCCAATTCTTTTTAATGACCATATAATATTCCTTTGATTGATGTGTCATGATGTATTTAATCAGTCTTCCACTGGTAGATATTTTGCTGCCACAAACAGTACTGCTATGGATATCCTTGTATATACATCTTGGAGCACACATATGAGAGTAAGTTCTTAAAAATGGAAATACTAGGTGAAAAAAAAATTGCAGTTTTAATTTTTATATTGCTAAATTTCTCTCCAAAGAAGTTTTGCTAATTTATACTCCCACTAATCCTATATGAAAATGCCTATTTCCCCATACCCTACTTATCACAATTATTTTCAAACCTTTTTAGCATTGACAATCTGATCAGTGAAAAATAATTTAAGTTTGAAAAATAAATAAATAAAAGACTGTGCCGGTCAAACTAAATATGGCCATGGGCCAGAATCAGTCTTTGGGTTGCCAGTTTGCAATTCCAGTCTAGGTTCTAATGACCACTGTTTTCCTGTAGGTATAAACCACAGTCAGCCCATCAGCCAGGTTAGTAGGGGCTCTGAGACCACACGCACACCTGGAGACAACCCCTTCAAAACCCAGAACCACTGCCAGGAGCCCTATTATCAGACAATGCCCGCAGGTGAGTCCTCTTGTGCTGGAGAACTGGCTTCTATCTGCCTTACACCCACCAAGAGGCCTCTGGGCAACTACTCTTTTAGCCTCGACTTCCAATTCTGAGCCTGTTTCTTTGCCTCCCATCATTTCACTCCTCAGGGATGTTCACCTGCACAGCCCAGGATCCCTGGAAAGTGACACAGGACGGAGAGGAGGTTCCTCACTGTGCGCCTGGTGAGCAGTGACCTATCAGTGCTGTGACTGCGGCCACGTCCCAAACAAGCCTCGGCTGGAGCCTGTGGAGCAGGACACAGCGGGTTAAAGGAAAGCCTTAGAATAGAAAGGGGGAGCTAAAGACAGAAGGGAGGAAGAAGAGGGGAACCAAGAAGGCACAGTAAAGGAGAGGCGAGGAGCTTGTTTCTTATTCTTCGAGGATCAAGGGATAACTAAGAAAGCAAACTCATGAAAGAGATTGATCAGATGGGAAAGTGGAGGAGGGAGAGGAGCAGAGAGTTGAAATAAGAGAAAGCCCTCTCTTGGTATGGTATGATTTAAGGATACACAGACAGGCTCTCTTTCCCCAAAACATCTCCCTACCTGGAAGCCGCAGGTCCAGAAAGTCCATCATTTTTTAAAGTTTTTTCACTGAGATAAAATTCACGTAACATAAAATTCACCATTTTAAAGTGTAAAAATTCAGTAATTTTTCGTGTATTCACAACGCTATGCAGCCATTACCACTAATTTCGGAACATTTCCATCACCCCAAAAAGAAACCCAGTACCTCCAACTCTCCCCTCCCCCAGCCCCTGGCAACCACTAATCTGCTTTCTGTCTCTATGGATTTGCCTATTCTGGACATTTCATGTCAATGGAATCATACAATATCTGGCCTTTTATGTCTCTTCTTTCATTTAGGATAATGTCTTCAAGTTTTATCCACATTGTAACATGACCGAATAGAATTTCACTATATGGATATACTACATTTTATTTATCCATTCATTGGTTCATGGACATTTGGGTTATTTCCACTTTTAGCCTTTTTTGGGATAATGCTACTATGAGAATTCATATATGAGTTTCTGTCTGAACACATGTTTTGAGTTCTCTTGGGTATATACCCAAAAGTGGAATTTTCCACAATGGTTGCACCATTTTAAATTCCCATCGGCAGTATAAAAGGGCTCAAGTCTACCATTTTTGAAACCCATTTTTTTGAGTCAAAGTATTGCCTTTCTAACCCAATCTGAATAAATTTCTCAGATTTTATTCCTGACTCACAGAAAGCTCCAGAGGCAGCCCGAAGTACTGCTTTGGGGTGGGTTAGAGGGCAAGTGGTAGTGAGAGATGTTAAAAATGAAGAAATGGCACAGAAAACTGAGGCAAGAGGCACTGAAGGCCAACTCTGCTTGCTGCATGATTTTGCTCTGAGTTCCAAGAGTCTAAAAAAGTGGGTTAAATTGGCTGAGGAGGCAGGACAGAGAACATTTCACAGAAGTAGGTCTTTAATAAACATGTCTTAATGCATGCTGATTTTTCACCCTTACCTCTCCTCTCTCCCAGTTTGTGGACGACCAGTTATCCCCATTGCCCAGAACCAGGAGGTCCAAGGTTCTTCCAAAGCTAAGTTGGGCAACTTCCCCTGGCAAGCCTTCACCAATATCTATGGCCGTGGGGGTGGGGCCCTGCTGGGTGACAGATGGATCCTCACGGCCGCCCACACCATTTATCCCAAGGACAGCATCTCTCTCAGAAAGAACCGGAGTGTGGATGTGTTCCTGGGCCACACGAAGACAGATGAGCTGATAAAACTGGGGAACCACCCTGTGCGCCGTGTGGTTGTGCACCCAGACTACCATCAGAACGAGTCCCACAACTTCGACGGGGACATTGCCCTCCTGGAGCTCCAGCACAGTGTCCCCCTCGGTCCCAGGCTCCTCCCGGTCTGTCTGCCCGACAGTGAGACTCTCTACCGCAGCGGCCTGATGGGCTACGTCAGTGGGTTCGGTGTGGAGAAGGGCTGGTTAACTACTGAGTTGAAATACTCAAAGCTGCCGGTCGCCCCGAGGGAGGCCTGCAAAGCCTGGCTCCAAGAGAAACAGAGGTCTGAGGTGTTTTCTGACAACATGTTCTGTGCTGGGAATAAGACGTGGCAGCAGAGTGTCTGCCAGGGGGACAGTGGTGGTGTCTATGTGGTATGGGATGATCGTGCCCATCACTGGGTGGCCACGGGCATCGTATCCTGGGGCATCGGGTGTGGCAAAGGCTATGGTTTCTACACCAAAGTGCTCAACTATGTGGACTGGATTAAGGGAGTGATGGACGGGAAGGACTGACCCTGGAGCAGTGACGCCAGCACTGCGGACGTCCCAGAAGGAGGAGGGTTGAGAGTGAGGATTGACCCCTGTGAGTGAAGAGGGGAGCGGGCCAGGAAGCCCTATCTAAGTCACAGTGCTAGAGAGAAATCCCCTGCTCAAGGATGACCCCATCCCAGACAGGAAGGGCATCCGCCAGCCCCTTCTCCTCACCCTCTACCTTCCTGTAAATTTGTGCTATGCTCAAGGAAGCCCCATCCATCTCAGCGAGTTTCCCTTTGAACTTCATCTCCTGCTGACACAGCTTCTTCCGTCTCTCCTGAGAACAGCCACCCTCTCATCTCCCTGTTCAAGAGGTATATGAGGGAAGTGGTCTTAATTGCATTTCATTTCTGAAACATTCCAAAGCCCCTTTAGTTGACCTTCAAATATTCAAACTATCAACTTTACCACCTACCACGATGCCTAGTTGCTATTATAGTCATAGCTCGGTTTTTGTTACATCTCTGAATACCAGGCACTTCACATACGTTATTTCATTGATTCCACACACCAAGTTTGCAAAGGATGTTTTATGATCCACATTTTAAATGAGGAAACTGAAGCTCAGGGAGATAAAGTGACTTGCCCAAACCCCACAGCTGATCCGGGATTGCAAAAACCATGTGCTTTCCTGTGCACCTTGATACTTCTCAGGCATCCTCCAGACCTGCTGCTGCTGAGACCTGCTGTATCGCCCGCTTCCCCTTCCCAATTTCCACATCAGTACAGATTCTTGCTTCCTGGGAATTCCTGTTTCAGTGAGGACGAGGACACCTGGCTCGCACTTTCTTGGGGGCCCCATCTCCTGCAGACACCCCCAGTGCTGCTGAAAACCCCAGGCCATGCTCTGCCTGAAAAGACCAACTCTCTAATTTTTTGTAAGGACTTGGGGTGATTTACAGTAAAAGGTGTAAATAAAATACAATGGCTCAAATTGAACTAGAAGATGAAAACTATAAAACGGAAGAAAGCAACTTCGCTAATATTGAAATTCAAGTTAGCTGTATGGGTAAAGGTTAAATTTATCTTTGAAAAATAACAGGATTCAAAGGCGTATGTATATGTGGCCATGTCTACTTTTTAAACCTACGCATAGTACAAAAGGCTATTAAAAATACTCTAAAATATTCATCGACGTTTGTTTTCAGTGGTGTAATTCTGGCTGTTTAGTTTTCCCCTATTCTCTATTTTCTAAATTTTATTTCATGAACATGTATTAGCTTTATTTTTTTTATTTTTTATATTGAAAAAAATGATATATTTCTCCATGCCAAGGCAAAAAATATATACTTATGTCTATATGTCTATATTTATATATCTAGATCTAGATATATAGCCACAGAGAGAAACCCACCATTACTTTAAGGGAGAAATTTTTTTTCCCCAGAATCAAATCCTAAGAGGAATGAACAATATAACAGACTACGTCTTCAGTACTAGTTTTAAAATAAGTGTCTAAACGATGTGTGGCTGTTTCTTCTTCCTTTTCTTGGTTTAAGTCAAAGGTGTAAGACAAATGCATAGTAAAGGTTATTTTGAGTGGTTGGACAGAGTGGGAGCCAGGCTGAGACTGAGCTAATGAGGTCCAGGATTGTCACTTTCCAGTCATGTTGAATGATACCAGAACAGAACTCAGAATCCATGAGACGGATGGAAGAGCTTCAGCTGAGACCTACCTTCTCGGACCACCTCCTCCTTCCCTGTTGCCTCTGCCATCCTGCTCCCACCATAAACACACGCACACACTCACACACACTCTGCTTTCAGGATGCTAATGTGCAATTTGCTAGACAAGAGTCCCCTTCTTTCTTGTCTCCTGATCTGGTCCTATCCTTTCTCTCTATCTTTGTCTCTCCTGACCTGACAGGCCATGGGTCATATCACGGATCAACCCAGCCATCAGATTCATTCCTCAGCTCCAAATATAAGCCTGCTAGAGAAACCCTCCAGACCTTAGCCTGCTAGAGAAACCCTCCAGATCTTGTGTCTTCCATGTGCCTGCTTGCTACATTCAGTGATGACTTGTTTACTGCCTAAAGGGGCCCAATCTTCATGAGTCCTTGCAATCCATTGCATAGGAAAGTGCCTGACATATTTAACTGGTCACCCATTAATGATGAATGAGCGGATGGGTAGGTGCAGGGATTGAGGAATTAATCTAATAGGGGAAATAAGCAGGATACACTACAAAAGCCTGAGAACTCAGGCTCTGCACCCTGAGCCTCTCTGTGGAATATAGTGAATAGGGCATTGGAGTCATGGTTAGTCGATGAAGATAGGCTTCCACAAAGAGCAAACTTTTAAAACAGGACACTATGGCCTGGTAGACAGGAGACACAAGAACCTTCCTCTCTCCCAGGACCCTGGCTTTCTCTCAAGTCACTCTTGGTCCATGACCACACTGTTTTTCTAGTCCTGGGCAACTGTGACCCTGAGGGGCTCATATTCTTGACCAGATGCTGAGGAAAAGAAGAAATCTCTACCCCTTCCCCAGCTGCCCCTGCTTCAATAAAAGCCAAGTTCATTGGCAGGCCTGAGTTAACTGAGGTGGGGAGGAAGGGTCTTAAAACAGACCCTAGCATAGCTTTAGGGTCACCCTAAGCGTCGTTCATGAGTGAAGTGACCAGGGCCCCAATGCAACCAAACTCCTCTTTCCATGCCTGCACTGCCCTGCTCTATCTGCTGTCACATCACCCTGGGCATCGAAACCCTGACCATTCCTGGACCAGGGCTGCTAGGCGACTAAGGACAGGACGAACCAGGTTAATGGAAAAGAGTCGTCCAGAAAAGAGAGTCCCCTCAACTGTGCTTTCACTGCCCTTTGGGTGGGAATCCTGTAAACACAGCGGCAGACCCTAGGAAGATCCCTGAAGAAAGGGAGGATTCAGATCAGATTTAGAAAACGAGAAATCTGGGCCTCCAACTCAAGGCTTTCCTCACTCTAAAAATTGGCCCATCCCCTTACCTCTTCCCCATGTAGGCCAGCAGGTGGCACCACCATCAGTGAATTCAAAACCAAAACTAAATTAAACTGGAAACAGATTTTTTTTTTTTTTTTTGGTTTTGTTTATGCAAATAGTCCATTCCCTACAGCATTCCTCCGGGAATGGTCTCCCCTTCCCCCTCCACAGTCATTCCCTCCCTTCCCCTTCCCTCCTCTGCATGACCGCTCTCTTCCTCCACACAGAGTGGATGAAGACGCTGTCAGGGGCGTCCAGGATCCAAAAGCAAGACTTGAGAAATGTGAGTAAGGCTGATGGGGCCCGAGGAGGGAGGGAGAAACCAGAGGGGAGACCTCTGGGCATGGGAGGCAACTCTGCTCCCAAATTTATTCAGGGAGACAGGATCAGCCCTCCCTTCCCCATGTCCCTTATTTATTCCAGTGTGCACATTTGCGTGTGCACACGCAAACGTGAACCCCCATCCCTCTTCCTGAGGACAAAAGGAGACCTTAGACATATGAAGTGATGGCCACATCCCCGTCTTCTTCCCAGCTCATGGCAGGGGAGCAGCAAGATGGGGGGACCCACTTTGCCCAGGAGGGGTGTCCTCCGTGCACCATTTGTGCTCCATGGGTAGTTTCCCCCAGAGGCCTTTGCTGAGCCTTTTGGAGTCCTTGCAGAGAACCATGACTGAAAACCCTCATCCTCAATTCACTGGTCCCAAGCCAGCCTTATTCCGGGAAGGGGAGGGGAGTGATGGGACAGGGCAGGGAGGGAGTGGGGAGAGAGGTGAAGGCAGTGTGATGACCTCTGGACTAGACATTGCCCTGGGGAGGAACACCTCATGCAGCAGCTGTGGAGACCGGACTCCCCACGCCACTCACCCCCACCTAGGCATCTGTGAGATCTAGAATGGGCAAAGAGGAACATGCCCAACAGAGTGACCGTGCTGTCCCCCACCCCAGCCACTGCCCATACAGCGCTCCAGACACCCTCTTTCTTTTTGACAGGTGGCTCTTATACTTCCTGGTGTCGGTCCTGTTCTGCAGGATGGGAAGCTCCATCCCCATCTCTCAGGAGCTCTTTGGGGAGGTGACTTCCCCTCTGTACCCCAAGACTTATCCCAACAACTTTGAAACAACCACTGTAATCACAGTCCCCACAGGATATAGGGTGAAGCTTGTCTTCTGGCAGTTTGACCTGGAGCCTTCTGAAGGCTGTTTCTATGACTATGTCAAGGTAGGAGGTCAGGCTGGGAGGGTAAGGGAGAGCTGGGCATCTCTAGAACCTGAGGACTTGTGCTCTAAGCACCCTAGATAGCATTTCCCACCTGTGGACACAGCCCCAGCCCTGTAAGAGCTGATAGCCGAGTGGAGTTATAGGAGTCAGGTGATGGCATGGATGGTGTCCATTGGTTTTAGAGGCCCTCGGTGAGCACCGGGGGGAGAAACACAAAAGAGGGAAGGTATAGTCCCCACTCTCAGGAAATTTACTGTTTACAGGAGTCAGAAAAGCTTTCCCTCTGTTTCCTTGCTGGGAGTCTTTGAGAAACTGCTATGCCTCAGTTTCCCTGTTTCCATGAAGAATATCACCACAGCTGCCTGCCTCATCAAGAACGTAGGAACATGGGGAAGAGAAATATGTGTGGCAGTAGCTCAAGCATAGCCTCCAGCAAGGACAATGGGTTCAGTCCTCTCACCTCTGTAACAACCAAGGGTACATCCCCGTCTCAGCTTTCTACAACCAATAAAAATGACATTCTAGATTCAAGATTCCAGTAGAGCCTAGCATGTCCCATAAATACCACTCCTTGGAGGCTATGAGAGACTAACATGAAAATGACACATCTCTAGCCCAGAAGACTTGAGAAGCTTGCGGTGTTGGGGAGAGGGGTCTTGGTGGCAGGGATAGTGAGAAATGGGGTTTGGGGGAAGAACATCTTCTACTTTTGATGGTTTAAGGAATTGTGAAAAAAGAGATAAGGGAAGCTAGGCAATGCACGCCGATGCTAACGCTGGTGGGCTCCAGAGGCTCACATTCACCTGAGTATATCAGGAGGCATGGCTGGATGCGAATAGTTTGAATAAGGTGAGATAGAATAACAAGAGAGACATTCAAGCAGACAAGTCCAAGCTCTAGGAATGAAGGAATGATTAAGGCTGGGTAGAGACAATCAGGATTCCAGTGGAAGATGGGCATGGGAGGAGATGGGAATGAAGAAAGGTCTGAAACATGCTGAGAGGAAATACACAGGGAAGGGGTGATGTATCAGGCACTGGAGAATGTGCAAAGAGTTAGCCAGTGAGAAATTCAGGTGGACAAAGGAAAGTCGCCCAGGGAGGTTTGCAACAGCCAGAGCTCAGCAGGTGGAGACCAGCAGGAGGTCACTCCAGCAATGGGGCATGATTCACTCTTTAGGACAAGAGAAGGAGAACCATCGCTGACCTTCCACATGTGACATGTCTCAGCAGCTCTCCTCCCTACCCCTTGTCCTTCCTCTACCAGATCTCTGCTGATAAGAAAACCCTGGGGAGGTTCTGTGGGCAACTGGGTTCTCCACTGGGCAACCACCCAGGAAAGAAGGAATTCATGTCCCAAGGAAACAAGATGCTGCTGACCTTCCACACAGACTTCTCCAATGAGGAGAACGGCACCATCATGTTCTACAAGGGCTTCCTGGCCTATTACCAAGCTATAGGTGAGTGGTCCCCAGGTTGCCTTTTGTCGGGACTCAGTCATAGAGAATGGGGACCGGAAAAAGGGGATCTTGAATCCAAAGAAGCAGGAAAACTGGCTCTCATTTTTCCCCTCAAGAAAGCTTTTTCCAGAAGAGGCCTGTAAGCCTGGGCCCTGTCCCCACTGGGCAGTTCCCAGAAAGCATTAGAGAGACCCGTAGGTCCAGGTAGCCCGGAGCTGACAATCTTTAGGCCTCTGGTGAGTGACCGCTCTGAGATCAGCACCACTATAGAAGTCCCCTGGCAAAAATGTAATCCTTCCTCTTGGAATCTCTTCCAGACCTCGATGAATGTGCTTCCAACTCAGTTGAGGAGAACGCCCAGCCCCAGTGCCAGCACCTGTGTCACAACTATGTTGGCGGCTACTTCTGTTCCTGCCGTCCAGGCTATGAACTTCAGAAGGATGGGCTTTCCTGCCAGGGTGAGGTTGGGTGATG